TAGTTCGGCGATCTTGCTCCACCCCCCTCTATAAATATCTGTTGAATAAATAACCGAATGAACAAAGTGACACATGGTCATCTTAGGTATGGTGTATTTTTGTAGATTGCCATTCTCTCGTCCTACTACATGAAACTTGGATTCAGCCTTCACTAAAACTTTTAGAAACATACATATAAAGTGAGTATATCTGCATGAAATAGCCCCTTTAGGAAGTTGGAAAAATTTTTTTAGAGGGCAAGTATGGCTTACAAGTAAAAAGGATCCCAGGGTGGGTGGAAACAGATAAAGATTTGTTCTAACCATTAGGACAGGATGTGATATGGCATAGCTGTCAAGGCCAGATTCTCCCTCTGTAAGACCTCTAATAAGTATAAATTTAACTCAGAATTCATCTCTAATAACACAGCCACAGTCACAATGACATAACGGAGTGCTTTACTGAAAAGGTTGACAAATGAAAAGAGATCTAAAACCCAACAAATCTTTTAGTTAAAAGGTTACTTTTTCTTGGAAACAGAATATAGTACCACTAAGTTATAAAAATGCAAAAAACAGTTTATATGAACTTTCTGACTTTCGACAATGTCATTGTTTAAGAATGTAACTAAATTACTTTTGAGGTATTTCATAATACATGTTCGGTATTTAAAAAGTAAAAAAAAACACATGAATTCAGTAATGACTCAAATATTTTCTATTTAGTCTGATAAATTGGCAATTAAAATAACTACACTTTATTCATAAAATATCCAAGATAAAGAATATACTATATAAAATAACCAACCATTTAATAGTAACATGCTTACAGTTTCTCAAAGCTGAATGTGACAAATGTACTTCAGGAAAATGTATTTAACATTGGACTTAGCTATATTCTAATTCTAAACTTACTTTTTTGGGGTGTGGAGGGGTGGAGTCTTCTATATTGCCCACGCTGGTCTTGAACTCCTGGGCTCAAGCGATCCGCCCACCTCAGCCTCCCAAGTAGCTGGGATTAAAGGTGAACACCACCACACTCGGATTAAACTTACTTCTATATGAAAAATAACCAGACTAACTTTTAGGGACTAGTGGTTCCACCAATTCAATTTTAAGACTACTAACAGAATTTTATAAACACCTATGATGTTACAGCATACAGTAAGAAAAATATTTGTTAAAGTTTTAGTAATTCAAACCAAAACCTGCTGTACGTTAAAAAAAAAAATTCACTTAAAAATTAGTTGGAAAAAAATACACTTAACACTAGAGTACCGTTCTGAAGAAAAAACTTTTTATGACTTCAATGACATGTTATTTTTAAGCAGCAGCAGAAGTCTTAAACACCTTTATATGCTTCGAAATACTGTTGATGATCTGATTTTCAATACTGTAATAGGTGCCATTAAAGAGACCATTGTTCTTTGAATCAGTCTCTGTGTTGCTGTTGGAAACACAGTAAGGCAGAAGCACTGGAATCAAGGAGGCAAGTTACTGAAACACTGTGATACTGAAATACTGCTGGCTTCTGGAAGAATCTTCTGACATGTGGAATTAGACATCTGAAGAATCGCTCCAATCAGTCACAGTTACTAAGCTGCTTTTTAATGTGCTTGATTCATTTTCTTGAAGTCCTGTAAGTGGTGGGGAAAGGCAGGAGAAGAGAAGGCCTCAACGGTTAAACAAGCACATTGTCAAGTCTATAAAAATCCATAATTTCATATTGTCATTAATCACTCAGTGTCTAAATGTGTTCATGAATCCTCATCTCCCAACCCCCATGAGCTATGTATAGGATGCCACTTTAAAATCCAACCATGAATTGGTCGCATCTCTAGGATACACTCACAGGACCCTTGGATGCAAGCTTCCACCCTGCAGCCTACAAACAGCAGGGGCCACATCCTGCTTCCCACTCCTTCCCCAGCATTCACTTCAGGGCCTGGATGTTGAAGGTGCTCAGTACATTTGTGTTGTAGTTACTGACTCTGAGTGAATAGATGGTAAAGAAAGGAGGATGAAATTAGCAAGCCAAGTAGGGATTAAGTATTAAAAAACAGATTTTCTAGGGTAGATAGGCTTAACAATGAAGTCAATTTTAAAATGCCATGATTTTGAGCCACTGAAATAGAGTGCAGAGAATTCCACTCAAGTTTGACTGTAGAAATGTGTTCCTCCAGGGGCACAGGTTTATGATGTTGGAGTAAAGAGACAGGAGATTTCCTTAGGGCATCCTCTTGGCCGTGTAAAGAGTCACTGTAATGCAAACAGGGTCTCCTGGTTTTCAATAATTAGAGTTGACGCTTAGACAGCACAGATAACTGATGCCAGTTATGCAACAGCTATGTTATAACTGGACAATGTGAGAGAAAAGGTATCGTGAAGGACAGAGGCAGCAACAGCTTATCTTACAAAGGGGCGAGAGGCTGCTGAAAATGAAAAGAGCAAGGGTGGAGATGTGCAGGTATTAATTTAAAATTACAGGCTGGGTGCAGTGGCTCACATCTGTAATCCCAACAGTTTGGGAGGCTGGAGCGGGAGGATCATTTGAGCCCAGGAGTTTGAGACCAGCCTGGGCAACCTGGTGAGACCCCCATCTCTAATTAAAAACAAAAAAAAGTAATAAAATTATACGTAGGAGTACAAAAACAGTGAAGAAGGCATGAGAGGTGCGGTGGGTGGTGAAAATGAGCCAAGTCCCCATCTGTCTTTGCAGGACATCAACAGTTAATATCTAAAGTCGATGAATCAACAGAGTGGTTTAAGGCCGTTACTAAGAGGCACAGAGGTACCACTAATGAAGGTGGTGCGAAGGCAAAGAGAAGCCTTCTGAACTACTCAGCTTTCAACATGTGCAAGAATTACTTCAACAAAATATTAAAATTTTCTAATTTAAAAAACTTTACTGAGTTAAGTTATTAGGCTTATCTAGGCTCTAGATTGGGGGATATGAAAATCATTTCAAGTAATTATCTCATAGTATTTCATCCTACTGACTACAATGCTACAAGAGAAACCTCCCTGGGAGAAAATGAAAAATATTTAATAGGGAAACAGACTAATACAGAAAAATTGCCAGAAGAGTGGTCTCATTCAGGTATATGATCAGAAATTTTAATTCCTAAAAGGCATCTTCATGAAGAGAATATGGGTATAGACATTTTCAAAAATAATATAAAAGCCAGGCATTGTGGAGAACATCTGTAGTCACAGCTACTCAGGAGGCTGAGGCAGGAGGATTGCTTGAGCCCAGGAGTTTGAATCCAGCCTAGGCAACATACTGAGACCCCATAGCCTAAAAAAAAAAAAAAAAAAAAAAAAAAAAAAAAAAAAAATATTTTTTTTTTTGGAACAGAGTCCCCACTCTTTGCTAGGTTGCAGTGCAGTGGCGTGATCTCAGCTCACTGGCAACCCCCGCTCTTCCAGGTTCATAAGTGATCACCTGCCTCAGCCTCCCGAGTAGCTGGACTACCAGGTGCGCACCACCACGGCCCAACTAATTTTTTGGTATTTCTTTTGAGAGATGGGGTTTCCAGCCATGTTGGCCAGGATGGTCTCGAATCTTCTGACCTCGTTGATCATGCACGAGAGACCTACGCCTCACCAAAAGTGCTGGATAATACAGAGCGTAGAGACCAATAACACCACACACAAACAAACACAAAAAAAAAAATAGTCGAAAAAATACAACAATTTGTGAGCTACGAGGAAAGACCCAATATATAGAAGCCTGTAAACCAGCACTCTGGAGAAAGCAAAGTAAGGAGAAAAGAACTGAGCAACATCAGATTATATAACTAAAGGGAGCAAAAAAAAAAAAATTGAGAAGAGTGGGGAGGGCTGCTTGAGCCTAGAAGGTTAAGGCTGCAGTAAGCCATGACAGCACCATTGTACTCCAGCCTGGGTGACAATAACACCCTGTTTCAAAAAATAAAAATAAAAATAAATTTAAAAATTTAAAGACTAAAGATTAGTCCTATAATTAAATAAAAATAACAATATATATGAATCAGTAAGTTATACATATCCACTCCTTATTTAAATAACATAAAGCACTGACAGCTTGCTTTCTTGTCTGATGATATACTAGCATAAGTTAATTAGATATTTATAAAGATGAAACACAACTAATAAGAAAATGGACTGAGCTTGTATTAGAGGGGAAAGCAGCGAACCTTCTCCCTTTGGCCCCTTAGGATTAAATGCGCCCCAGGCATTTAGCACATGAGCAAAATGTGGCTCATTTTTCACAGGTGGAGGTTCCTTCTGTTCTTTTCCAGATTTTTTTCCCAAAGATATCTCCTCCTCTAGGGATGATATGTCCCAGTCTTCATCCTCCACATCTGCACACTAAAAGAAAGGAATGGAGAATAATTAATGTTTCTTTAAAAAAAACAAAAACCGGTGCCCCTCAATCATTTCATTGGTTAGACTGAGCATCTAACATTGAACCATAAGGAAAGAAGTGGGGAACTATTAATACTTCCAAATCTAGTCATTACTGCAGGGCAATGAAATGGATTTGGAAGTTGGTATTCTGAAATCTGAATCATCTATTTTTCATTTCTGCCATGGAAATATATGTTTCCTACTCTACCAATCATGAATGTAGAAAATTCCAGAAATACTACACTGTAGGGGTATGAAACTCTAAAAGGCAGGGTGCTCTCTAGTAGGAGTGAGGTCTGCTCTCGCTTCTTACCTCTGTGATAATAATGACATCTAACTACCGGCACATCACACCAAGGCCTGGAGAAATAGCCCCCAACCGGAAGGTGCACACAGTTCTAGCATGTCCTTCCTAAAGAAAGATGCTTTTGCACTCTCTTGAATGACACAGGACTTTCTGTCATTTCTGGCTTGTGTAACACAAATAGAATTAACTAATAAAAGTAATCTGACAAAATGCCCTGGACTGGAAGACCAGTTAACACAGATGATTCATTGCTGTGCCGAGAAATACAATGGGAGAGCTCCATCCACAGAAACACTTCTGGCATCTTGGCTGTTAGAACCGCTGGGAAAATGTTTGGGCTTCTTCTCTAATGCAGACAGAGGAGCTTGAGCTCCACCCTCACTTCAGCTCCCAAGTGGGGCTAAACCCTTAAAAGTCCCTAAGATCTCATGTGAGGGTAGTGGAGAAGATCTGAAGGGCCCTGATTCTGGTCAGTCACAAATTTCTTTGTACAAATCATTTGATATCTGCAAGTATCAAATAATACATGTGACAGGATTTTGAAAACCTGTAAAGTGTGATGCTTATTATGTACTGTTGCAGTTATCACACCAATATCTTTGACTGTCTATGGAATGGAAAGAAATGCAATACTGAGAACAAGAAAGGTGAAAATCTCAACCTCTACTATACCAGCTAACTATCTGTTTTATATTTCACTACAAAAAGTGTGACCATTAAGGTGTTGTCAAAAGACAAATAAATGTATATCTAGAAAGTAAAAGTGATTTCACCTTTAGTTCTTGTAATTCTTCTTTTTTGATAAACATCTCAGGAACATTAGTTCCACCAACTGGTTTATTCACATTTTTGCGATGTGAAAACATCTTTTCAACTTTTTCAGTAGGTGTTTTAATGGTGGCTCCTATAAGATCAATAAAAATTAGGCAAGTGAAGTATTTAAAAATTTCATCTATCTTCAATTCCAAAATAACCTTACAGGAAACTTTGAAAGAGTCTAAGCTTTGGAAATAATTATGTATTACTTCCAAGTCAGTTGATGTACTTTGGGGTTAAAAAATTAAACACATAATCCTTAAAATAATCATAATCCTTGAGACTATGAGCTATAAAGTTTTCATTTTATTTAATTAATTTAAAAAAATAGAGACGAGGTCTTGCTATGTTGCCTAGGCTGGTCTTGAACTCCCGGGCTCAAGCAATCCTCCTGCCTCGGCCTCCCAAAGTGCTGGGATTACAGGTGATAGCGACTGTGCCTGGCCTAAAGTTTTCATTTTAAATCAAAGAAAGATGATCTCATTCAAGTGTGTGGTCAGAAATTAATTTCAGTGAGATAACCTGCATGAATGGAATACTCATAAGGGTATTTACAAAAACTATGAATTTTTAAATGAATTCATTATATTTTATCTCATTACACAAATACATGGTATATACACATTATATACAATACAAATTACATCCAAAATATATTAAATATAACAAATTACATACAATATATTAAATATAATAAATTACATCTGATATGTTTAAAATATATAATTGTAAAATTGCATTAAGTAGAATTTTTTAAAAAAATAATGACCCATCAGCTCTACTTCTCTTCAGCAAATATTTGCAGTGACAGGCTAAGATCTTTCTTCCTTTAGTATTACTCCAGCTCCAAGAGGCAGCACAGTGTATTAGAACAGCCATTCTCATAGTCACCCAGTGTCCTGGGTTGAATTGTGTCCCTCTAAATTCACATGTTGAATTTCTAACCCCCATTCCTTAGAATGTGACCTTATTTGGAGGCAGTGTCTTTGCAAAGGAAATCAAGGTAAAGTGAGGTCATTAGGATGGGCCCTAATCCAATGTCCTTATACAAACGAGACATCTGGACAGAGATGCACACAGAGGGAAGATGATGTGAGGATGCACAAGGAGAAAACAAGTCAAGGACAGAGACGCGGAACAGACCCTCCCTGGCAGCCCTCACAGGAACCAACAGTGCCTACACCTTGCTGTTGTACTTCCAGCCTCCAGAACTGTGAGGCAATAAGGTTGTGTTCCTTAAGCCACCCAGTTTATGCTACTGTTATAGCAGCCCTAGCAAACTAATATACCAGGTATCATTCCCAACTCCTTCCTCTCCTTCAACTGGAAAGTGCTAAGCCCTGCCCATTTCCCGTGGGCGCCTTTGGGATCCGCTGCATCCGTTTCTTGCGCACCCTCCCAGAGCTCAGACTCCCAATGCTCGGTACACCTAGGTGAGGGCCACCGTCCTAAATAAAGTTTCCAGAGAGTTTTCCAAGGTAACAGCTCACCTGTGGGCTTGGGAGAATCATCAGTGTCCTCGATCTCGCTTCCCTCGGTCCCGTCCGCCTCACTTTTCACTGCGTTCTTCCCGAAGCTGCCTTTGTTTTGCGATGGCGGCACAGGAAGTGGGCCTGGGGATGCGTATGCCCGGATGAGGTCGTCGTCCTCCTGCTCCTCCTCTGAACTAAAGGGAGGGGGCCTACACAAATCAACACCGAGACAGGGGCGCTGTTTTCGTAACGCTTCAGGATTTATGATATTAAAAGATATGCCTCTTAAAGTGGTGGCACCTTTCTCAGGTAATTCCCAGTGGGCACAAGTGCCTTTGGGGTTATGACCAAGATGGCGGCAAGGCCAGAGGTTATACCCATGACTGAAGCATCCTCCCACGCCCAGATCTCTGCCAGCAACGGGGCATGTTTATCAAAATGGGCTGAAGCTGGGGCCTGTCTCCTCTAAACCCAAATGTGTATATTCTTAATAATTTTGGTTTTCATACACCTAAGAAAAACATTTCTCAAAGAAAAACATTTCCTCAGTATAACCACTAATCTTTTAAAATTGTGTCATTACTTACAATTTCTTTATACTGCACTTTATTGCAAAGAGCTTTTACATACACAATCTCATTTGTATCATCACATGAATTATTACCCCAATTTTAAAGTGAAATAGAAGTTCAAAGCAGTGTTCGTTCATTTAAATAATATTTATTGGGCACCTAAATTCCAGACAATGTGTCAGTCTTGTACATGTTGATTCATTCACACCACATCCCAAGAAATAATGCTCTTCCCATGAGATTATGTATAAGAAAAGTGCTTTTGAAGGGTGAATCATTGTTTATTGTCTCTAATACACAGTACCTCAATGAAGAGAGATTTATGTCATCAATATCTCCAGAATAAGGCAATGATGATTAAATTATTCATGATCAAATTAGTCTTACTCATAATTAGTAACAATATACCTACAATTTATTGAGTACCCACAAGTGCCAAGCACTGAGCCAAGCCCTCTTCATACATTCCCATTTAATTTGTAGAACTCTCTTGTGAAAAAGGCAGCATTATTCCATATTGCAGATAAGGAAATTGGGACTTAAAACATCCCATATTACAGATAAGAAAACAAGCTTAAAACAGTAATCAACTAAATCAGTAGCACACAGGTGATGAGCAATTGAGCTAGGGTTTTTAGTATCCTAAGAGAATCTAAGAGAGGAAGAGCTACTAGGGTCATTATTAACTTCCACAAAAAACTGGAACACGAAATTATTACATTTAAAACAAAGTTACACTGTCACAGGTCTAGGCATAAAAACTCAACATCAGCCATTTAATTTAAATGTACTTATTGAGAAATTACTCAACATTGTCAGGGGGTGGATATAAGAATGACTCAATTGTCTCTCTTCTTAATGGAATCCACAATGTGGTTAAGGGCTATTGACTTATGTACTAACTGATAAAGACAGAAAGACATGTCACAAATAACATATCACTAAAGGACAAATTATGATAGTAAATAATTATGGCTTCATTCAACCATAATGAGCATACTACTTTAAAATGAAAGGAATGTTCAGTGAAAATAATTTTTAAAATGACCCTCCCATCCCCATCAGTACTCACGTAATAGTTGAAGACTTTCTGGGAAAATGATCTTCCATGATGTTTTTCTTAATTCTAAAAAACAACAGAAAAATATTTTTAAATTGCAGAAATTAATAATATAATTTCAGATACATTTCTATGGAACTGGTGACTTTTGCTTTTGACATATACTAACGAGGAAGAGCAGCAACAAAAGTCACCAACTGTCAGCAAGAGACTGGTAGGAATTACAAGTGTGATTCTCTGTTGGACCAAACACTGTTATGGACTCAATGTCTGTGTCCCCCCCGCCCCAAATACATATGTTGAAGACCTAACCCACAGTATGATGGTATCTGGTGGGCCTTTGGGAGGTGATTAAGTTTAGATGAGGTCATTGAAGATGGGGGCCCCCATGATGGGATTGGTGCCTTATAAGAGGAAGTGAGGCCAAAGCTCGCTGTATCTCCACCATCTGAAGGCATGGCAAGAAGGCAGTCGTCTGCAAGGCAGAGAGCCTTCACCAGAACCTGACTATACTGGTATCCTGATCTTGGACTTTCAGCCTCCAAAATGGGAATATAAGACATTTCTGTGAAGCCACCCACTCTATGGTATTTTGTTAAAGTAGCCTGAGCTAAGACAAACATTGATAAAATAAATCTGAGGGCTGAAATACTCACTTTGAAACAGATGTCCTATCAGTAGAAACAGCTTTTTGTCTAATCAGTTGTCTGTTTTTGGGAGGAAGTTGTATCATTTTGGGTACTTCTCCAGTTGAAAGGGTATCCATTTGAGAAACACTGTACTTATCTGGAATATAGTGTCATTCATGAGTCTCCATTGCCTTTATGGTCAGTAAGTGAAAAGCAAAGGTAAACAGTGTAATACACCCTATGCTGCTGTGGAAATGAACAATCCCATCTCTAGGGTTTAAAGCCAGAGTCTAGGGTTGTTGTTTTGTTTTTACTGTAAAAACAAAACCCAAGACCCAGCATTTAGTAGTACAAACAGTAAGAGAGTTGTCAATGAAGTGGCAAAGTTTGTCAACCATTTAAAATTATAATAATTTAATGATATCTTGTGGTGAAAAAAAGAAGAAAAAAGAAAAAGTTATTAAATTAAGCTCCCATTTGCAGTAGGTAACAAGCTTACCTGAAGATAGTAGTGCTTTCTCCTCAATTTTACAGCTGACTTGATGTTCAAGGAATTCTCGAATTTGATGAAAGTTAGGTATTTCTCTTTCTTGTTTATGTCTTTCTGATTCCACACTTTTTAGTACTCTATGCAATTGATCACTTGAAATGCCATGTACATCCTGAAAGAATAAGATGTTAAGTTGGCCAATTATCCTGGGAGGTTTCATTTCATGGGGATATATCAGCATTAACTATGCCAACATTTCAATCCATCCTTACAGGACTCCAGCTGTGTGTAGAGGGTGAGGGTGCCCCAACAAGTAACACACTGTCCTGGCCCCAAAGAGGCCATGAGTTCAGTTGGGCACATAAGGCATGCATATGTTTATGACTGGCCGACCAACGAGGCTATGTGTCATAAGAACCCAATGAGTCTACAAAGGCTAGAAGAATTCCAGGGAGAGAGGCCATCGAAGGCCCCAGTGGCCAGAGAAGCCTGAAAGGGAAGGCTGAGCTGTGGCGTGAAGGACAGGTGGAGTCAAACAAGTAAAAACAAGGAGAAATTTCCAGATGGGTAGGCATGGGGTACGGACACCTGTGAGAAAGGAAGGTGTCGAGGCAGAAACAGGCAAGGCACATCCCACAGGTTAATGCTTACAAAGACCTGGGTGATGAAACCAGCAGAAGAGACTAAATGCCAACCCAAAAGGCTGAAAGGTTATTCTACAAGGAACAATAGGTCATCAGAGCATCAGAGGTGACTTTCTTTCTCTCTTTATTTTTATTTATTTATTTATTTATTTTTTTTTTGAGACAGAGTCTGGCCCTATGACCCAGGCTGGAGTGCAACGGCACAATCTCGGCTCATTGCAACCTCCGCCTCCCGGATTCAAATGATTCTCCTGCCTCAGCCTCCCTAGTAGCTGGGATTACAGGCACCCACCACCACACTCAGCTAATTTTTGTATTTTTAGTAGAGATGGGGTTTCACCGTGTTGGCCAGGCTGGTCTCAAACTCCAGACCTCGTGATCCACCTGCCTTGGCCTCCCAAAGTGCTGGGATTACAGGCGTGAGCCACCGCACCCGGCTAGAGGTGACTTTTAACTATGCAAATAGCATAATTAAAGAGACAATATGAGAAAAGTCATCTGGATTTGATGAGAATCTAGACAGAAGAAAACTAGTTAAAGGGATATTTGTTGAATAACAGTGTCTCACACACACACAACTACCTATCATCTTGGTCCCCATACCCCTTGCTTCCCTCAGCCTTCCCAGTCCCAGGTACTGGCCCTACCACCCACCCAGTTGCCCAGGACAGAAATCTGCATCATCAGATTAAGTACCACCTCCAAGAAGAAGTTTTCTCTGACCTCAGTTATTCAATCAACCCCCTCCTCTACTTTTCCTTTATTTCACTTCATACAATCTAAATTAGAGATCTCCCATTTGTCTGGACAATCATTTGTTTTATGCCTATCTTCCTATACCATGTAGCTGGAGGATAAGGCCTAGTACTGTACAAATGTCAATCCTTCCCACTTAATATACAAAACTGGAAACAATTTCAATCAGAATCCCAACAAGCATTATTCTGGGAGTTGAAAAGTTATTCCTAAAGTTCATTGGAAAACAAAACATGGAAGAACTACCAGTAAATTTTTGAAATAAGAAGACTAATGAAGAAGGCATGGCCTATAAAAGATACTAAAACACAGGACAAAGCCACTACAATTAAATTAGTGTGGTGTGGGCAAAGGAACACACAAAAACCAAGGTAAAACAGTTGAAAGTCCAAAAACAAATCCAAATATATATAGGGATTTCCTATATGACAAAAGTGTCCTTTTAAATAAATGGAGAAACCATGGATTATACAACAAATGATATTGGGACACCTGATCCAACTGGAAATTAAGTTAGCTCTCCAAATCACTGTTTCAAAACCTAATTCTTAAAGCCCAGATAGACAAAAACAAAATAAGGCAAAACAAAACAAACAAAAAACTAGGAAAACCTCTCCAAGCATTAGGAAAAAAAAAGAAAGTTTTAATAATCTTAGGATAAAAGAAAATGTCCCAATTAAAATTAAAACCCAAAAAGCCACTTGCAAACAATCAATATGGAAAACTACAGTTTCAAGAAATAATCTGTGTAGGATGAATGTCTTTGATTTCCACTGCCCAAAGGGTGGTCAAAACCCACCTAAAAAGGGTCTATGTGCAAATTTAAAAAGACTGAGTTGATGAAAGATGTGGAGCAACTAAACTCTCAAACACTGTTAGGGACAGTGTGAGTTGGTACAAAGACTTTGGAAAACTATTTGACAACACCTACTATACTAAACATATGCCTACCCTTTGACCCAGCAATTTCATCCCTAGATATATATTCAAGAAAAACAAATGCCCGTGTTCACCAAAAGACACGTACAAGAATTAACAGCCAAGAAGAGCCCCAAAATAAAAACACAAATGTCCATCAGCAGGGAAGAGATAAACTGCAGTATAGTCACACAATAGAATGCTATAAGACAATAAATAAAGAACAAACTACTGCTACATGAAAGAACAGGTATGAATCATATACATAAAATCATAAGCAAAAGAAGATATAAAATATTACACAGTGTATGACTCCACTTTTATGAGGTTCAAGAATAAGCAAAACTAAGTCAGAATACCCTTTCTCTCCAACTGGGAAGTAGGGGGTGATACTGACAGGAGAAGGTAAAGAGAGTCTTCCAGAGTGTTGGAAATGTTCGATCTCATCATTTGGGTGCTGGTTATAGATCGTACACACACATCCATGTAAATACAAATCCGCCTATGTACATAAAAGTATACAAACATGTATATCCACAAATATAGCCACATACACATACATCTGAAAACATACATAATCATCTATATACATACATATACACAAATGTATATACATAAATGTGTATACACATACACAGATATCTGCATATATATGGATACATACATGTATATATACATATCTACATACACACATACACACTATACACATCCACGTGTGTGCCCATGCATGCATATGTGCTCACAAGCTTTGCATATGTATGTATATATGCATATTTAGATGCACTTTTGTATATACATATAAACTAATGAAGTTCAATTAAGGTTTGTGTCTTTTATGTATGTCAATAAAAATAGAAAAAGCAAAAAGAATCTATATGATAGGATATACCAAAATTATTCAATCTGGCAACAATATGAAACCGTATCCATTCATCCATTCATTCAACATGTATTAATGAAGTGCTGGTTTTGTAATAGGCAATGATTTGAGGTTAATATCAGAATGTAAGCAGCACTGTGACTGCCTAGATACAAACCCTGGCTCCTTCATTACTAGCTGTGTGACGTTAATCAAGTTACTTACCTTTTCTGTAAACTGTCAAGATACTAATGTCATTTATTTCAGAGATTTGTTTCTATGTTTAAATGAGTTAATATTTGTTAAGTTCTTAGAAGTGTGCCAGCCACACAGTGAATGCTATTCAAGTGTTTGATAAATAAAGTAGGTCACATTAGCCTCTGGTCTCCAAACACGGACAGAATTGATGTGCTTTCTTCTCTTCTCTGATCATTTCTAATTTAGAAAATAAAATATAGCAAAACTAACAAATATTCCAAAAATGAATGAACATACTGCATTAATCCCCAAGGTTTCCAGTTTCTCCATCAAGTTCTGCTCCACCATTGTTCTTAGTCCCTTAGTGAGGGAGGAGTTACTCTTCAAAGCTTTCCTTAAATGCATTTTGTTGTTATTTAATTTCTGTTCATTTTCTCTTCCTGAAATAAGGTTTTAAAAATGTGTTAAAAAATGAATTAAGCAAATACATCAAATCTCTAAGCAGAAAATGACAAAGTACAGATTTTAAGCAGCAAGTATTTGTGATGTTTTAAAACTTTTGGATATTTTAGTCACTCAGCACAATACAGAATGCTTAAGTTACGTAGCTTTTAAAACTATTTTATGTCTACTTTAAAACTTCAGTATTTTTAAACACCCTGGATCACTTAATCAGATGACAACTATAGATATATATGTATCTACAGAAGCATGATGAAAAAAATTATTTAGGAGTTTAATGTTTTATCACTAGAATTATATCACTATCTCCTGAAAAATTCATCTCTAAGCTCACTCTGTTAGAATTTACGTATCATCTTATGAAGAAAAAGCTGAATTTACTTTAAATAATTAAAAATTTTTGGCCATCTCAGTGGCTCACACCTGTAATCCCAGCACTTTCAGAGGCTAAGGTGAGTGGCTCACTTGGACCCAGGAGTTTGAGATTAGCCTGAGCAACATAGTGAGGCCCCATTTCAATTTATTTTAAATTAAAAAAAACACTTTTTCAAAGTTTTTTAGTTTACTAGAAGCTAAGTACATATAAAACTTCAAGATGTGAAAATCATTATCCTCCTCAAAATATTTACCAAAATGAAAAAGGATAACAAAAGTATTAGCAAAAGTGTATTTTGTTTAAAACAACCTGTAATTAAAAACAAAGAAACCAAAACCAACAGGACATACTCTCCTCACTTCCAGCCCTACCCCTTTTGTATTCCCCACTAAAAAAAAAAAATGTCAAGTTCAAAAGAGTTTAGAGAAGAATGATGGCATGACCTTTAAAAATCTGAGTCCTTATGTACAAAGGAACTAAAGACTTGATTAAAGAGATGCGATGTTTGGCAGTTCAGACCCTTACTGACTGTCCAAAGCCTGATCTGGGAGAAATGTGACAACTATACTACCATTTTGGAGCCTAATCTCCTAGCAGGGGCATTTTGCCCACCAAAGGATGGCATCAAATGCCATTTCCTGGGTGTAGGGCTCCAGGCCGCCTGAGAGACTCTCCCTTCGCTGCTACCCCACCCATCTGAGTGGATGGGATTCTTAATACCCATAGTACTTGGATTTGCAGGAGATCTTGAACAAAATGTCTTTTTGTTTAAGAGGTTTTCTAAACACCAGTTCAATTCCCACATTAAAAAATATTTCTATTACATAAATAGATGGTTTTACTGAAAGCAAAATTAGATTACTTTTTTGTACATTAAATAGAAGAAAAAAACGCTGCACAAAAATACTATTCTATGTTTTGCTATTGCAGCTTGCTAAGCTGAAGTGATAAAACTGCATATAATTATATATTAAAAGTCAGAACTAATCTTAAATTGTAGTCTCAGCAATCATGCTGCTGTTTAACCACCAATGTTTACAAATATTCTGAAACCACCAAAAAAAGCACTTCTACAAAATCATAGCTGCAGCCACTACGTCGCTGGCTTTGGCTTTTAGGTGGCCATCAAGTGTGCAACTGTCTAGGGCCAAAAATAAAAAGAGGCACCAAGAGACAGCCTGGAAGTCTTGGTGCCACCATTGAAATAGACATACCCCCTACCCCAATTATGCAAATAATCTTTTGGCCAATATCTCAGATAATGAAGGACATACATAGAAGCATCGCCTAAAAAGAGGCTCTGGGCCCAGTTTCCTCTGGGACTTGGGGCCACATACAGGGGCAAGCAATGCCTGGAATGACTTGGCCGCAGTTAGAAGAGCTGTAAAGCCTTTGCTGTTAGTTATTGAATTCCTTTGCCGATGTGTCTCTGATCACCCTCAACTCTGATGACAGGTTCATTTTGATGACTGAGTTTCCCCAAACTACTGCAGATTAAGCATTTCCCTCTATCCTCAAATTCACCTTATATACTGGTGCTTGCTTTGGGAAATCATTTATGAATAATTACAGCACCCTTGGTAAAGATTCTTACAAAGCTGGGACTGGCCAATGGAAGCAAGAGAAAGAATGTAGAGTAGGCAGGGAAAAATAAAGTTTTTATGTAGAAGTGGAATTAATCACTTGAAAATCAACCACAGCTGAAGATTTTAGTTAAAGCACATATTGCTCACCAAGACCAAGGCAAAACTTTCTAAAGACTAGCTTTTCCTTCCAATACAAATTTTCAAACACAAGCAAGCAGATGGCCAGGCTAATGCACAACAGTCCATACATGGGATCAGTTTTATCAGACACACAACATCCCATTTATGGTAAACAAATAATTGTAGCACGAAGCAAATGATTTTTAAAAATCTTTGAATTTCTGAGTTGGAAAGGACTTTATCTACCACCTAGTAATGATAGATTTTTCACATGAGGATACTAGAAACAGCAGTACAGTAACTTCCCCAAAGGTCATCCAGATGGTCCTGTAGAGGCCACATCAGCTTCCCTTTCTCCATTTGCTCTCTGCAGTAAACTATGGACAGTAGAAAACCTGGATGTTGTCACTAATTAAACTCAACAACCTGAAGCAGGCTCTTAATCCCCCTATGTTTTCTTTCTGGAAAATAAAATGGCCTCTAAGATCCCTTCTGGCCCTCACATTCAGCATCTATAAAACAGCAAGATCAAATATGCCTCTGCTCAAAAAGCAGGTACACAGAAATATGCGTGTGTGAGTTACTTTTTAGTAAAGGCCACAGTGTTTTTGCAAATCACTGCCAAAATTGAGCTTCGCTAGCACTTATCTGCAAAATGTTAGCACAAGCTGAGGAATTTATTGATGGCAATTAATCTGCTGCCAGTATGTTAACTCCACAGAGGTGCTAGAAGGAGGCAGTCACTGGTTTCTGCAGCGGTGCACGTGGACCCTGAGGTATTTTCCATGGTCCTCGGCACTCTCCTATCTACTGCCAGAGCTGTACACATGGAGCATGGCAAGGGTTATTTTCTTTTGCAGTCCAGCCCCCTAAATGTGGCAGCAACCAATGGTGGTGTTTGCTGTCAGTGATTCCAAGCTACCCTCTTACATTGACTGGAAGAACTCTAAAAGCACAGGCAGAGGGATGCCGCGACTGAAACCTGGAACTGGAAGTTGGAAGACCACTCTGGGTGATGGTGGACAATCATGATTCCTATAGGAACCCTCACTAGTCATTTTTTAAATGAGTGAACTACATGACCTGAAGTTCCAGTTTTGAAATTACGAGACCTTTTCTATGAACCTCCTGACATGTTTCACAGATTCTTCAAAGAATACGGGATTGTATGTCTTGGACATCAGTAAATGATATGTATGTAGGAGAGAGGAAGCATGTTACTTGCAAGCAAAATGATGTGTCATTATTCAGAACTCAAATAGGGTAAGATTTGTTCATCCCGTTTCTGGGAAACCAACAGGGTTGGTTGAAAATCACTTAAAGACAGTATTTTTAAAGCACTGTTTCTCTTCAACTTTATAGGGCTCAGAAGCTCAAATGCCTACATAAAGCAAAGAAGGCAACGTGGGGCAAAAGAGTTGAGGGGGATTATGGCAAACCGGAGGTTGCTTCCACAGTCGGCAGTGGCGGCTCAGCCCTGCTAAATGTTGCTCAGTAGACCATGACCCAGGGTTTCCAGGGTATTGTATTGTGGCATGAAGCCAATAATTTAAAAAACAACAACAACAACCAGAATTTCTGAGTTGGAAGGGACTTTATCACGTAGCGATAGATAATTAAATTGTGTAGATTGCACTACAATTAAATATTGGCAACCGATCATAAAATATTTGCCAACACTGCAGCTTGAATAAATCAGCCTCTGTGGAATCGATTTAGCCTGCAGGATCTCATTTGATGCCTGGGTTGTGGCCATCTTTAAGGTGCTGGAAGTATCTGGGAATGACCCACCTCAATTTATTTGCTTAACAATGGAACAAGGCTGAGGACCCCATAAGAAGGTGACAATATCTTTTAAAGTTATGCTCATCACAGTACCCCAAAATTTCCCTCAACAAGTTTTTATGGCTTTTTATAATTTAATGCACCTATAGTCACTCTTGTTTCTGAAAGAAGCAAGTTTCTAAACATTGGAACAGCAATTACAAAGAAATAAGCAGGAAATGAAGCAACTAAAACCAAACTCTTCAAAATCAGTGCCAAACATGAACAACTATTGGGACAGGAAGATATGCAATCCTAAGCTAAATGGTCTGTCTAAAATATACAAAGTCAAGACAAATTACAAAGATACATGGAAGCAAAATAAACAAACCCCATAAAAACATCAACAAGTGACTGATCACTAGCATAACAAGATTAGACTTGAAAGTATACCTCATATAGGTATTATGAATATGCCTGATCTAGTGAATTCTCAATTTGTAGCCTTATAAAAATAAAAATAAAAAACTGGTAAATGTCTAGAGAACAAGGGAAGAGTTATAATAAATATTGAATTTACATATTAGAATATATATCATTTGACTTCTCTTCCTGACAAAACTGACAAAACCAGAATCCATATAAGTATTGACAATTTGCTTAAATTCTCCTAAAGAAGTGATATATGGTGATATATGACAATTCTCCTAAAGAAGTGATATATGGTAAATTATTATAATTAATAAGAAAAAGTTACGATAAATTGATTCAAATATAATTGTTTTCAAAATCTACAAATCTAGCATTAGAAAATGTTCCTTATAATTAAAGCTTTCCTCATAAATTTTAAAAACTGATCAACAGAAAATAATTTTTAGGACTATCAAATAAAATGAGTAAGCAGTAATAATTATCTCCCAACACCCGTAACAGCTCCCAAATTCCACCATAAAGATATTGTTTTGCATATAAATATTCCACATCCAGAACTTAGACATTATGCTTTTCTTGCTATTAAAAATAATTTGGAAATAAGCATTTCACCAATTCATTTCAGATTAAGGGTATGATAAATCACCACTATGACACAAATCTTTTCAGATCATCTGGTACACATGTATGCGTCAACATGTCATCTCATCAGAAAAATCTGCATTAAAATAAAGACTTAAATATTTTTTCAAGTTCCCTGACACAGAAAATTTCTTATCTGCTTGCACAAGAATACTGTGAAGCAGGGGAAAGCAGAACAGAATATTAGGGGAATAGGATAACAGAATACTCCATGTGGGTTGGAAGTAAAATCCAAATCTAAATGTCTTTCCTAATTTTGATGTAGTGGAATAAAAACCACTGGCTCATATTTTCCAGGCCTGGGTTTTGATATATAAATATAATATGTGCAGGTAAACCTGATCAAGCCCTTTGTTACCTTTTTCTTCCTCTGAAAGTTCTTCTATTGGTTCCAGTATGTGCGACGAGAATGCCTGTTCTATTAACAAGGAAAAATAAGAACAGTACAAACAGAACAACAGCAAAGTAACATTAGTTTCCTTTCAAATGATTTAGAAAGATATAATTCCATAGCATTTTAATCATGCCTAAATAGCAAATATTTACTGAGGAAAAAATGTTGAGGCAATCAGTCAAAGATGGTCACCTTTTCATGGTATCTTCAATTTCTATGTACTTTCCATTAACTAAACTCTACAGAAAGTATAGTTTTAAATAATTAAGTTAGAGTTTCTTCTTCATCAACCTAGTACGCAATAGCCTTTTACGACACAAGGGCACAACTGCAAAAGATCTTCATTACTTATAAAGTATTTCGATCAAGTGGCTAAACAGAAAATTAATGAAAATATTTCAACTACAAAAAAATAAATAATTCCCAAGGCCCTGGGATTCCCACTTGTTCCCGGTGCTAACCCCATGGTATTCAAGTGGTAAGACCAACAAGATAAAAGAGGAACGACAGGAGAGAAGTCAGCAGCAAGACTGAGAGTCATTCTTCGACACCTGCATGGATACATTTCAAGACCTAGTTCCGGGGCTGGAGAATGCCCTGGGCCCACAGCTGGGCAGATAAGGAAGGACTCTTCACAGTCTCACCCCAGAACGTCAACCGCACTCAGGGGAGATGAGGTCTTTGGATGACTATTCCCAGAGAAATGTTATATGTATACACAAGGAAACCTGCCAGCAGCAGGCATAAAACCAAACCCTATCCCATCAACTGAAGGTAATTTCCTTCATGGGGAAGGTCAGGTTTTGGGTGAAGGTTTAATGATGGTGGTCAGGCATTAGACATGGAATGAAATGCAACTAGCAAAGTTGGTGCATGGTTCACTCACCTTCAGCTTGGAGGCTGATACAGTGCACTTCCCTCCACCAGCTCTCCACTTTTACCTCCAAGTGGGAGGTCATTGCATTCTACCACCAGACCTGGGAGTGGGTGACGAGCCAGGGTAAAAACGGCCAACAGTTACTGAGTGCTCATCAGGTGGCCGGGCAGGGATCCACATGTGTGGTATCTCAAATTTAATGCTTCCCATTTTAAAGGGTCTGTTTTTTATTCATTAAAGGGTATTTCTAGAACTCTATTTCAGATAGATAAATGATAGAGAGATGATAGAAAGAGAAACAGACAGATTTAGGTATATATAAATAGGTTCTTACAGCTTAGCCAGCAACCTAGTCAATGTATGTAACATTGGCTGTATGGGAGAAATGCATCTGAAACTACTTTCAAGTGAACTTCTGGAATGCAGCCTATGACTGAATAAGACCACCTTAATGCTGAAGTGTGGACATAGCCATGAAGAAGCGTTTAAGTCCACCAGATACCACAACTGGTGACCACCAAAAATGTGCTTTTCAAATTTGTTATAGAGCATTAAGATTTTGCAAAATTATACAAAATAGGTTATATTACTAGTTTGAACAGTTGAAAACAGAGATTTAAGGAGGATAACTAATTTCAGATTTTAAAAAGTCACACCATTTGTGTTTTATTGTACTTGTGATCAAAACAAGGTCACAAGGAAACTTTTACTAAAATTTTCATGAAATCATCTCACACATATTTATCATTTCATTGCAGGGATACTCCTATGACTTATTTCTCTAGAGTCAGGATAACTGCCAGGTTCTGACGTGTTTCCCTCTGTGTAGAGAGGAAGAGTTCTGGTAGAAGGGGAGATTCCCGAACAGGATCCCATCACAAGGGCTTGGGAAAGTGAGACTGGCCAAATCCCAGCTCCCAAAACAAGCAGGCTGATGTCCTATATCAGGAGGGAAGGACCTGCCCTGCTCGTGCTTTGTAAGCCACCAGTCTAGCCTTCAAACGTCCCAGAACCTGTCCTGAGCTGAGATCCAGGGTGAGAGTCAAAACACTCAGAGGTCTGAGTCTCCCGTGAACTTGCTGAAAGCTTTAAAAAAAATCCTTGTCAGTTTCCTACCATTGTCTCCAGAAGAAAGGCTCTTGGTCCTCTAACTAGCCCTGCCCTTTTGTCCCTGGCTGACTTCAGCGGGACTTCATTGTGCCCACCTTAGAAGCTAACACTGGCCAGAGCTTACTCAGTGGCTTGTGCCTTGCTGGCCCATCACAATGGCCACTACGGTAGCCATGGCTGCTCTCTGCACTTGGTAGGAAAAGTCCCTAAGCCCACAGCTTAGGGCTGGGCTGTGAATCTGGATTGCCTGCTTCCAAAGTCTGGGCACTTGGCCACAAAGCAATGATGCCTGCCCACTGGCGCTCACTAGGCTTGTCTTCCTGACTTCTTCAAATGCCACTGCTGTCCACCCATTATCAGAGTTCACTGTGCTCTGACCTTCCTTGGCCTTGGCCCTGGTCCCCAATCAGGTGCTCAGCCTTTCTGCCAACTCCACCAAACCGCTGGTCTGTCCACTCCTTCTCCACTCTCATCACCACAACCCAGACTCCTGGGGAGGAATCTCAAATGCAGGATCACCCACACCCACAACTAGTCTCCCCAGCTCAAATTCTTTGGAGACGCTCTGGTCAGGCCAAGCCTCCCATAGCCCAGCTCTCTAATTCCGCACACCCAGCCTCAAGAGCACTCAGCGGCTACACACTGCCCCAAGAACGACCCTGGACAGCTGCCGCCTGGCACTCAACAGCTGCCATGAACGCCCTCAACCAACCTCACTTCCCTCACGTCTCCTCCTCTTCTCTATGCATGGCCAAGTAATTACTCTGCACTGCTAATACACATCTAGTGCTTTCCTGCCACCTTTTCCTTCTTACTGTTGGCTTTGCCTAGGATGCCATCCCAACATATTCACCTCCTACTCGGCTCAAATGGCCAAATATCAGCTACGCCAGGAAGTCTTCCCAGAGTCTCCCAAATGGAGAAAATCTCTCCCCTGCCTGGATACCCATTTCATTTCTCAGTGGCTCTCACCTTGCACCACAATTATAAACATGTGGTCTCCTTTATAAGCTATAAGTTCCTTGGGGAAGTTATATTTGATTCAGAAGTTACCTTCTGATTCATTTCTGTATCTCTGTCATGCCCGCCTTGGCGTTACCCTCAGGAGTGGCCCACAGCTGTCATTACCCAGTGGTCGGTGAAGGAAGGAAAGCAGGAGTGGTGGGACACCACTAGAGAAACAGATAACTACACGTGGCATGTTAACTCCTGTCAAAGACATGTTCACTGAAGACTCTTCTGAGCTTTTCCAGGATATATGTCTAGGAGATCTTATTGGCATATCCAAACATTTCCCCTTGTGACTGCACGTAAGCATGGTCACCTGACAGGGAACAGGCCCATTCTCCTTTAGAGGGTGGAATTCCACTGAACTGAGACTTCCTTTCAACAGTCTCCATCCCACTTCTGTAACACTATTTGGGCCGGTGGTGTCCAGTGGGGGAAGCCATCTTTCTTTCCATCAAGAGACACAATATGCCAGAAGTCTGGAACACACCACCTGTCATGTATTGGACAATCAACTATTGCTTGTGTTAAGTGTCAGTATTTCAAGATGTAGAATACTTGCTGTGAGAGCAAAACATAGTAATTGTAAAGTCTAATAAAAATGCTTCTCAGTTGGGTGCAGTGGCTCACACCTGTGGTCCTAGCACTTTGGAAGGCTGAGGTGGGAGGATCACTTGAGTCCAGGTGTTTGAAACCAGCCTCGGCAACATAATGAGATGCTGTCTACACAATAAATTTAAAAATTAGTCAGGTACGGTGGTGCACCCCTGCAGTCTCAACTATGTGGGAGGATCACTTGAGCCCGGAAGGTTGAGGTTGCAGTGAGCTATGATCATACCAGCACATTCCAGCGTGGGCGACAGAGAAATGCCCCGAATTAAAAAAAAAAAAAAAAAAAGTTTCCAGTTTTTGTGGTCATCATTGTAGCTATATACAATTAAAGTCATGTATACACAAGCCCCTCACAATTTATAGGCCAAATTAAAGGAAGGCTTCACATGTAGGTGGAACCTAGCAGGTGCCCATAGACTTTGGGGAAAGTGGTTATTTTGCATCCTCACTGCACTCGTCGCTCTAAAAGTGGGCCATATTATCAGGTCAGGCAACCCTTTATAAGCTATAAGTTCCTTGGGGAAGTTATA